TTTTTGATGGATCTATGCCTAGGTCTACAGGTTATTCTCTCAATAATTTGCAAATGGTTGGGCCAACAATCAAAGCAGATTTATTCACAATATTGACAAGTTTTCGGAAACATAATATAGACATTGCAGCAGATGTTGCTAAAATGAATAGGTGTGTTTTATTAGCTGAAAATGATAGGAAATTGCATAGAATTTTATGGCGCTTTAATGAAGATGAGCCATTAGAGGTGTTTGAATTGAACACAGTTACATATGGGACTGCTTCAGCATCTTTCCTGGCCATTCGCTGTTTATCTCAATTAGCAATTGAAAATGAAAAGACTCATCCTGATATCGCTCAAATCATCCGCAATGACATGTATGTGGATGATTTGTTGACAGGGACGGACCCGATTGAGAATGCTTCTAAAATATCGGCCACTATTTTTGAAATATTGAAGCAAGGATGTTTCAATTTGCGAAAATTTTATTCCAATGTGCCTGAAGTGCTCGATTGGCTACCCAATAATGATGGACTTGCAAAAATTGTTGATTTTAATGGTCATGGAACAGCAAAAACCTTGGGTCTGATCTGGTGTCCCAGTTCAGATAAATTAATGTATGACGTGAAATGCCTACCTGAAAGCAATCCTGTAACAAAAAGAGTTATTTTGTTTGGCTCTTCAAAAATATTTGATCCACTTGGTTTGATCAGTCAGTTAGAGTGGGATGACCTTGTACCTGGTCATATTGAAGCCAAGTGGAATGAATTCAAGTGTGGTGTTTTAGAATTGAATGGATTTGAAATAAATCGACATGTTTTTTGCACTGATCTGTCCTACCTTGAGATACATATATTTTGCGATTCTTCTGAAACGGCTTATGGAAGCTGTATATATGTAAAATCAGTTGATGAATTTGGAAATTGTTTTGTTAATTTGCTGACCGCAAAGGGAAAAGTAGCTCCCTTGAAAACCATCACCATTCCTCGTTTAGAGCTTTGTGGAGCTCTCACAGCGGCGCGGTTGGCTGCCAAGGTTTGTAAAGCCATGAATTTAGATAATGTAACACGCTACTTTTGGACTGACTCTTCAATTGTATTGGGATGGCTTAAATCTCCTCCAAATAAATTAAAAACATTTGTTAGTAATCGAGTAGCGGAAATTCAAGATTTAACAGGTTCTGCTATATGGAATCATGTGCCTAGCGACCACAATCCAGCCGATTTATTGTCTAGAGGCATGAGCCCTTCAGAAATTAAAAATTCTGAGCTCTGGTGGTATGAGGCTAATTTTTTAAAGTTTGATTCTATTCATTGGCCAAAAAATCCTTGTCATTTAAATGAAACGCTTCCTGATCTCAAAAGAAACAGTACTGCGCTGACGGTGATGAAGAAAGAAAAATGTGAGTTTTTTGAAAAATGGTCTGATTGGTCTAAGTTAAATCGGGTTACTGCATGGATATTTAGATTTTATAGAAATTGTAGAGAAAAGGTAGATAATAGAAAGGTAGGCATGCTTACTACAGCAGAAGTGAACCTTGCAATAGACAAACTAGTAAAGCTTGCGCAACAAGAATCTACCGGTAGATGAGGGAAAGGATGTCTATGGATTAACTGTATGGATCTGTTCAATTATCTTTTTCATCAGAGGGTCTAGTTTGTGCTGAACATAGTCATGTATAAGTTGATAACGGCATTTCGTGTTACGTGCAGAGTCCACTTATTTGACGCCATTTTTTGTGTACATTTTCACTCTAGTTGCCTTTAATCTACTGTCCTTCTTCGCTTCCAGACTTTGAATTGCATTAAGCGCAAATACTATTTAGAAGTTTTAGGTTATTCGGAAATAAATCGAAAATACTTTGACCCAAACACCAAAATAACTCAAAATATAACCACGCTACCACATAACTGGGCGATTTGCGCTCATTTGGGGTTTGTTGCCACAATCACCAGCTTAGCATGCTAAAATGTTGCTGAAATTTCCGAACATAGCCGAGGATCAAGTGAAAAATAGAAATCTGCTGTAGAAGACGAATTCTATACATCTGATGTATTACTGTGTGGATCTTCAAGACTGTATTGATACTTCGCGAGTGTACTCAGAACGTCCTTCTTGATGCTCTAATCAGAGTTGCGTAGGTTTTTTTCGCGCAAAAGCCATCTGGGAGAACATAGTAGAATACCTGGACAATCCCAAATATTCCAAATTTAGAAAGAAGTAAACTAACCTGTGTTGTTGAATCAAACAGGGACAACTTCAAACACTATTTACCAACAAAACATGTGAGATAGCAATACTTGAAATTCCTTACCAAATGAATGGTGAGTATTTTTCTTCATTTAATTTTTTACATTTTCGGTTCTCAACACTGCAAATTAGCTTTGTTAAGTGAGTTCTTAAACTCCCAACTTCTAGGACGCCCTGTATATAGGGTGTCCCGTATGTGTAAATATGCTTAGAGTTTTAGTGCCCTAACATAAAATCTTAAGGAGGGTGTCTAAACGGCCTGTGTCTATTTACGCAATTTTGCGTAGCACGCTATTGCTGGTAACCTTGAGAATATATCGTAAGCCTTGTCCTTTCAACCGAGGTGGGCAACATCTATCTCTATTAGTGAATCTTCTGCATTTTCAGCTTATGGGTCAAAGATGTGTCAAGCTTTGGAGAACTATCTCTATGTAACAGATGCTAGTGTTGTCACTTTGGACACAACGTGCTTCTTTATACCGAAGCTGCCACGTGGGCAGAAGCCTAAATACCACGGCGCCGCAGCTGCTAACAGAAGCGTAACGTTTGTTCATGCGATGTTTGTATTTTCTGGAAAAAACATTGGGAAAAGCCTGACTCGGAGATTGTTCCACAGCCTCGATACTCTAGGAACAGAGGACCGGTCGTATCGGTCAGCTCTGGATGTACGATGTTCAACACGGTAAGAACGGGAGGCCGAAGCCAGGCGGGCCTGTTTGGCACATCGCGCAGCGCCATCATGGAGGGGAGCTCTGACAGGCAAAACGCGTTGACATCGCGGTAGGAGAGAGCTAGATCGCCGACGGTATGTCGGTGCGAAAGCGTCCCCGAGACTGTTAATTAGTAAAGAGTTATGATCGGTGACTCGAACACCTCTCCAGCGCGGCAGTAGCGAACACATGTGAACGGTACTCGAGGCTAGGCCTTATCTGGGCCTTTTACAGAGAGGGGAGGTTATATAGAGAAAAGTACTTCATAGCCCTAAGCAACCAGCAGCTGCCGCCATTAACGAGATGTGTTCGTAGCAGATCAAGTCATCTGTGATCTGGACTCTGACCAGCCGAAATGATCCGCTCTTTGGAAAAACTCGGCCAGCCATCAAAACCGGATGAGCGCCAGAACCCATTTTGTCATTCACAGTACTGTGTTGTATAACCATTAATCTGTACCAGATTGGTACGTCCCCAAGTGATAACTTCGAGGTCTCTCGTCAGACGCGAGGTCGCAACTAGTCATCTTTTTCCAGCTCACCGGCAGAGATCGGCTTGTCACTGTGAATTCTTAATGAAAAAAATGCGGTGAGTTTTTCAGTACATCATGCCTGCATGATTGTTTCCCGTTTATCTGTTGTTACACGACTAGACCGATACCGTACCCATAATTTCTAAAAGGTCTTATACAACGTTGTATCTTGAAGTACTTATTGGGACCATATATTTAAACTCCGCTCATAACGAGGTCGTCTTTATCAATAACTATTTGGGAGCACCAAGTTTCCCGGAATGCTAATTCCTCTGTGATTCCCAAATTGATTAATATGTCAAATTCTTTACAGATCGTAGCTACGTAACTAGAAACTTTTCAATGAAAGGTTGCGGAGCAAGTCCATAGCAATAAAAGTCGATTAGATTATGATACTTTGCATATACATTAAATACCTATGAATAGCTACACCAGAGAGAAATTCTACTATTATAAAAATTATAATCAGCTGGGAAAAAATAGCGTCAATTAGGTGAATTCTGCAATGACCACGAAACGCTGTCATTAGTTCATGAAGGATTATGTTAAGCACACGTTATGTCCTCTGAATCAGAAGATATCTACGAACATATATAACAAAGGAATTAAAAGAATCGAGTCAGACAAACAGGCCCATACGGTTAGTCTGAGTCCCCACATGTTTGACAACATTGCGATCTAGCCTACCGCCCTACCTGCAGTTCGGACCATTCGACAACGTGGCCTGACTTGACACTCGTCACAGCACAGCATCGCATACAGCCATCATCGATCAAATCATGGGGAGTCAACTGACATGGGAGAAAGGGAAACAACAGTATGCGATATAGACAGAAACTTGCGATCAGCTCCTGAACTTCTACCGCTTCTCTCTCCACCTTTGGGAGTAGTGTGGCGTTACCAGATTGTGGCAGGCGAATTTATTCATGCCATGGATAGACTGATAATGTAATTTGTAGTTTTAGAAAAGAAATTTAGGGAAATGTGTTTGTCAGCTGCAATAATACTTTTCCAGTTCAATGAATGACTTCGTCTATATCCAGTGATCATTTTTCAACAAATGCTGGCATTTTAGGGAAAGCAAAAATTTTGCATCAACAAGAGTTCTTAGCTTGATTTATCTTTATTGACGCGTTTGTTGAATACCCTCTTACATGAACCAACAGGTAGCAGATCGATAAACCAAGTCAAATTTGTTTAAGCGTTTTTTCTTTTAATAAATTAAAAAAGATTTTTCGTTGGAACACATTTGTTTAGGTTATATTTTTAGAAAAATTCTGAACAAAAAATGTTTCCCGTAGATTTTCTCTAAAGTCTACCGTTTGCGAGATACAAGCGATTTTGATGTCTCAAAACAACAAAAAATGTGTATATCCAATGCTTAAAAGCTCGATTAAAGATTACAATTTCTGAGGTAGCCCAGTATATAAATTAACCCTAAAGTCTTACTCTACAAGGCTCCAAAGACTACTTAAGCCTAGTTTATTTTGAAGCGATTTGTAACCTTGTTTCTAAGCCAAAATTGGACAACTCTTGTTTTTTGCAGACTGTGTGTTCGTTGAGTTTCATGGGATGAGTACATTGAAATTATGCTCGCATCTCCTTCCTCGGAAGCAAGTTCGCCCACTTCCCATCCCTACCATGACGTACGTCATCCGTACCCATCTGTCAACCTCACTTTTCTAATTTGTGCGATAAGAGGAACAACTTCAAAATTAATAAATATCTTAGCAATCTTTGGATGTGTCGAAAAGATATCGTCGGTATTCGTCTCCAGGGACATCCTCTGGGAGCGAGGAAGAAGAAGTTGTGGTTTTACGTCGTCGACTGAAACGATTAGAGAATAAATTGAAGTGCTCTCCCTCCGATGGGGGCAAAAATAGGGCAAAGAAGCAGCGAGTTGAAAAAATATCATCTACAGATGAAACTTCATCGGAATCGCCTCATACAACTCGAGAACCTGTGGAATCTGTATTTTTGGAAGGTACATTTATATCTATCAGTATAAAATAACTGTGTTTTAGGATAATTCTATCAATCAAGAAACCAAAGGATATTGAACCAGTTACTTTAATGTATAGTCCAGTGAGGACTTATTCCATTCAACTAAGCTCGGTGGTGGGCTATTGAATGAAGAGCTCGCTGGTGGGCTAGGAATGTTTAGCTCGGTGGTGGGCTATGGACAACAAGCTCGATGGTGTGCTATGTAGAAGCAGCTCGATGGTGGGCTATAGACAAGAAGCTCGGTGGTGAACCATTCTCAGCATGCTCGACGGTGGGCTATGGTTGGTAAGCTATTAATATTGTGCTCTGTGGTGAGTAGAAATGTTCAAGCAACCTTGATCATAGATCAAAAAATTTAACAGACAGCTTAGAAATGTTATGGAATAAGTGATAAATTCCCTATTCTCATTGACTATACATTTATTTTCTGGAAGTATCAACATACTTCCTGTTATTTACTATGAATTTCAATTTGGTAGGATCTATAGCTGACCCCTTGGGATGGAGGACTCCCTACCACAAGGCATTATAGCTATTATTGGTTAGCAGACTCTGCAGGCAAGTGTTTGAACAGAATCGTTTCATTCGCAAGTTGCAGAATTTTGGAAAACTAATCGAATAAAGGGATCGGATCCTTCCACCTGCTTGAAACTTATCTAAAAATACGCTACACAGTTCAATAGCTCTTTACTGGTTGCTCCAAAACTGAGTCCTGAAGTACAAATAACAGTAGGGGAATATGCTATCAAGAGGGATGAGAAGCTTGCAATAATGCAATCTCAGATTGGAGCTAGTCTTGGTAAGGCTCTAACTCTTTTACTTGAAGAAGAAAATAAGGAGAGGTTGACAACCCTCAAATTGATTGAGCTCATCAGTAATGCAGGTAGAATCCTATCAGATCTGCCCAAACAAAAGCAAGAAGGAACCTCCTGTCCCTTAACTTCGATATAGACTTAAAAAGTACATTAATAGAATTACCCCCAGATCCGTGGCTCTTCGGAGAAAATTTGGGTGAGCTTATCAAATATGCCAAAGCAATTGGACGTTCAGGAATGGACCTGAAAAAGAAATCTGCATCTAAGCGAGTGTCTGTATCCGATCATTTAAACTTCAGGGGACCACCCAATCGACGGGAATCCAAGCGTGGAGGGGAGGTAGAGTATTACTATCGGAAACAGTCGCTGACATCGTATCAGGAAAAGAAGCAGGAGCAGACGACCCGGTTCAAGAAGAGGGAACACATGAGATGAGTGAGGTAAAGATTGTAGCAGGCAATTTAGCATCACATCATAATAATTGGTCTGATAAGATGATCCTGGCCTGGATCCAAGGCTATATAATAACAGTTAATAGATGTGTAACTCGACATAAAATGCCTTGTCATCAAAACAATTGGGATAGTGATGAGTTAAGTGCAATAAAGCTAGAGATCAATCATTTACTACCTATAGGGGCTATCAAGAGGTGTACACCTCAAAAAGATGAATTCACCAGTATTTTCTTAGTACCAAAGAAAAATGGTGGCCGTAGACTAGTGCTTAACTTAAAAAAGCTGAATAAGTTCATAGATTCAAATCACTTCAAAATGGAGCATTTTAGATCAATGTCAAAATTGATCTCTGGAGGTTGTTACATGGCAACTATTGATCTGAAGGAAGCTTATTTTCTTGTTAATATTGATGAAGTATCTAGAAAATATCTCTTTCTATAGAGGCTTTATGAGTTTTTCGTACTGCCTTTTGGACTGTATACTGCCCCTTTTATTTTACTAAAATCATGAAGCCTGTAATATCTAAGTTAAGATCTCAGGGTCTCATCTCAGTTGACTATTTAGATGACCTCCTATTATTTGTCAAAACATATCAGGACTGTTTGAATAATGTCAATGTAACTTTGTAACTTCTCAGGAAATTTCGATTTGTCATAAATAGAGAAAAAAGTATGCTGCAACCTGATCAGGAATGTAAATTTTTAGGCTTTAGGTTTAATTCAAAGCACCTATATATGACTATTCCTGATAGTAAAAAAATTAGCATATGCTTGACATATAGTAACCGTACACTGAACCAGAATGCAAAATTAGATATTTTGCTCGTGTAGTAGGACTTTTAGTTTCTATTTGTCCAGCTGTCAAGTATGGCTGGGTTCATATTAAAAGATTTGAGCAGGCAAAGTCAGCTGCATTAAAGGTAGCTGGCGGTAATTATAATGCAAGGATGGTGATCCCAAGCTATTTGCTCATTGACATCAAATAGTGGATGGAAAATCTTCCAAAGTGTAGGACAGATTTAAGAAAGACATCTTATGATTTGACTATTTATTCAGATGCTTCCCTGTCGGGATGTGGTGCAGTTTGTCATAGCAATCAAATATATGGTCACTGGACAGAGTCTGAGAAGAGTTTCCATATAAATTGAAGGCCGTTTACTTTGGATTAAAATGTTATGCTAAACATAAAAATGTTATTAATTTCCTTTTAAGGGTTGACAGTACGACAGGCATAGCCTATGTCAATAAAAAGGGAGGTACGCATTAAACCAAATTAAATGAGCTATTTAGGAAAATTTGGAAATTCTGTGAAAAGTGCAACATTTATGTTTTTGGCATCCTACATTAAATCCAATGCTAATGCTGAAGCTGATTCTTTGCCAAGAAAACTAGCGCCCGAAACTAAATGGGAACTGGCCAGTTATGCATATCATGAAATTATTAAAAAAATTGGTGAGCAGGACATAGACTTGTTTGCATCTAGGTTAAACGCAAAATATGATCCTTTTGTGTCATGGTAGCAGGATCCTGATGCCTTTGCAATAGACGTTTTCATCTTTCCTTGGACTAAATACTTCTTTTATGCATTTCCTCCATTTAGTATGATATTGCAGTGTTGCAAAAAAAATATAGTGAGAATGCTAGTGGTATTGTTGTGGTACCATTGTGGACCACTCAACCCTGATATCCCCTATCTTTACAATTACTGAATTCTCAGTTAGTGCATTTTCCACGTAACAAGTACATATTATATTCATTTGACAGACTGCATCACCATATGTACAAGAAGATTACGCTGGTGGCAGGAATTTTATCTGCCAAGCCCTTAACAACGGAGGTTTATCATCATCATTAGTTTACATAATGATTGCTTAAATAACCACATCTACGCTGAAGCAGTACGAGGGCGGATTAATACGCTGGCGGAATTTCTGCTATCTTCAGGGCATGAATCCATATCGGGACAATATTTTGACAATACTAGAATTTCTTGAAGATGAGTATGTAAGAGGTATGACCTATGGTACTTTAAATAGCTACAGGTCAGCTTTAGCACTGGCAATATCACCGGAGCTAGTCTCTGACCATGGAGTTAAGAGATTTTATAAAGGGATATATAAACTACATCCACCATCTCCTAAGTATGAGTCAATCTGGAATCCCGCTGTTGTTTTGAACTATACTAAGTGACATATAAATCCGAACACCCAGTTTAAATGGTTTTATTTTAATAAAATTTTGTATAAGTACTTAATGAAGCATAATAAGTAAATGATAAAAATTTCAAAATGATTGCACTGCTTTAAAGCCCTTCGACCTTTAATAATGTGTGGATGCACCCTGATGTGCTACGCATTCTCCAACGCGCCTAGGCATGCTTCTGATCAGGTGGTCAATGTCCTCCTGTGGTATCTCATTCCAGGCAACCACCAACTCCTCTCGAAGTGCTTCTAGAGTCTGAGGAGGTCGTTGCAAATTGAGCAATCTCCTACCCATCATATCCCACACGTGCTCAAATGGGGATAAGTCGGGAGATCTTGATGGCCATGGTAACAATGTGACATCATTATGTTGAAAGAAGTCTATTGTGACTCCTGCAACATGTGGTCGGGCATTATCTTGTTGGAAAGTTGGATCTGCCAGGGTGTCAAGATAGGGTAAAAGATGGGGTTCTAGAACTTCGTGGATATAACGCTGCGCGTTCATGTTACCTCTGATGAAGATTAAAGGTGACCTGGAACCATAAGCTATAGCACCCCAAACCATAACTCCAACAGTGTAATGAACATGTCTTTCAACAAAAACTGTGGATTCCTCCTTTCACCACGTCGCCTTCTAACACTGGCACGTCCATCGTGCATGCCTAAACAAAATCGAGACTCGTCACTAAAGACAATACTGTTCCATTCCTGATCCCAGAGTGACCGTTGTCTGCAACACTCAAGGCGATTACGTCGGTGTTCTCGAGTTAAAGGGAGGACCCAGTGTGGCCGGTATGAAAACAAGCCAAAACTTCTCATTCGTCGGTAAACACTTCGCATGCCAATACGTCTTCCGTGTTCTGCAAACCATTCATTTGCAATGGACCTGGTAGTGGAGAAACGGTCCCTTAAGGCTAATAATGTTAGGAGGCGATCTTCACGGTCTGTTGTTCTACGGCGTCGTCCAGTGCCCCTTGCTCTTTGCGTACGGCCTTCTCGAAGCCATGCCTGACAACACCTAATCACAGTGTCTACACTTCTCTGCACTCTAACTGCAATTGCCCGAAAACAAAGTCCAGCTTCCCGAAGTCCCACTATACGGCCCCTATCAAACTCACTAAGTTGACGAAATTGTACAGGTCTCCGTACTCTAGGCATCGTAACCGATCGTAAAGGATGTCAAGAACCAAAATCCGCCAACGTTGATTCTTTACTGCGGCTGAAATATTCATTTTTAGAGCGTTAGTGAATTTAAAAAAAGCAGTATAAAAACCGGAATATCCAACTGATAAGGCTGAACATTTTTTCACTTGTTATTTACAGTAAGATACTCGTAAATACATTCACCAACTTTTATTAAAATAAAACCATTTAAACTGGGTGTTCGGATTTATATGTCACTTAGTATATTTGGCTTACAAAAGACCTATAAAGGAGGCTCAGCGCAGATCATTGGTATATGGATTGAATCAACTCTAAGAGAGGGTGGTATAGACACTCCACTCTATAGCGCACATAGCACTAGACATGCGTCCAGGTCGGCAGTCTGCCGAAAAGGGCTGAATTTACGAGGGATGTCTTTTAAGTTTTGTATATCGAAACATAGTAGGCCGAGCGGATCCAACGTCAGTACTGAATCTTAAC